GAAAGAAAGAAAGAAAGAAAGAAAGAAAGAAATTTGTATTTTACTGGAATGTATGTTATATTGGTAAAACAATAACAATAAAGTGTCTTAATTCTTGTTTCTATTACAGTTTTTATATTAGGACTGCAAATCTTCAGACCTTTATTTTATAAATGTACACTGAGAGCCATAAACATTTTTTATGTTGTTTGTTTATTTGTTTATTTTGGAGGAAGGTGGGTTGATGTTTTTCACCTGCTGTGATAAGATGAAATGTTTTAACCTCCTGATTCTTATTATTAGTTTTTACGTGTTTATTTGGAGAAAAACTGCAGGCAAACTAAACCCAGGAAGCAACTCACATAGTTTCATATCTGCCAATAAAATAATATAATCATATAATAATTATTTTCTATTTTGAATAATTAATAGCGTGTTTGTGAAAAATAATATTTGAATTTTATTTTTATTATTATGCCTTTCAATGTGAGTGATATAGGAGGTTTCATGGAAAATAAATGCAATAGCCTATTTTTCTCGCACCAGCAGAATATCAGTTATAAAACAAACTGCTTCCTGAATACTGTTTGATTTTTAATGAATCATTTGGAGCAATTTCTTGTTTGCAAAAGAAAAAAAAGAGAGAAAAACTGATCATAAGCACTGCTGTTAATTAAATACAAACAAAATCGGCATCTTCCTCAAATCTGCAGCTAATGTTTCCTTAAACACACCTGCGTGTGCATCAGGAAAGCGGATGTTGTGTTTTTGTGTGTGGGCAGTCATGCGTAATTCCACGTCCAGAGATTACAAGCACGGAAAAGCTTTAAAGAGGAAAACTATGTCCGAAACCCGTTAGCTGAAAAGAACTGGGTCAAAGGAAGCAGAGAAAGTCTGGAGGTGTGTGGATATATTTTTTAAATATAATTTAGAGCTTTGGAGAAAAAAATATATAGGCTTAAAGGTTAAAGTTCACTCGAGTTAATAGTGTCAAAATGACACAACAAAAGAAAGAGAGCCAGGACTTAGTAAAAACAACACGAGTCAAGAGGCTGATTTCAGACAGAGGGTCTTGATGTTGATGACACCTTATCTGTCCGCGCGCTCGGCTCAGAACAACCGTGCTGCTGAGTTTGTTGAGGAAAAAAAAAACCAGAAGTGGGAAGTGTCGCTGAAAGAAGACACTTTATTTGAACAGCTTTGGCTGAAGCACCTCCAGTTCCCGCGTCTCCTCTTTTTTTTTTTTTTTTTTTTTGCATTTCTATAACAGGGTTAAGTCTTTTTGTGAGTTTATTTCAGGAGCTGGTTGCAACTTTGTTTCATTTACTCTCAAATATTGGTTCATTCAAGCGCAGCGTCCTTTGGCGACTATATTTATAACTCAAAACTTCTGTTATTGTTATTTTTTATTATTTTTTCAAAATGTCTAATTATGCACCTCGATGCAGGCCCAGCGAATATAAACAGTGTAAAAAAAAAGAAGCAACCATAGACTCTTTCCTGTCTTCACCCTGCCTGCAGGCTGAAAACTGGAGACATTCGTGTCGCCGTGTTCTGGCGCAACCAGGTCAATTACGCACGCGACTCAAAGTCACACCGTTTCTAATTAACGAGGATTTCTTCCTGTTCACAACAAGGCCATGACAGCGGGCTGTGGGGAGGACAGATGAGGAGTATTTGAGCTTTCATTAGACCAACTCTTATCTCCACAAGGAGCTGAGATTTTCGTCTCCTTGCATGTTTCCTCTGCCTTTTTTTCCCCCCATTAAGTTTGTGAACTGGCACCAGCGCGGCCTGCTTGCTCTGGAAAACAGAGGCTGTTAAAAAAGAGAGGGGGAAACAGGCCCAACAGGGGCTTGGTTGTAATTATGTTTCTGTAAAGCTGCTTTATGAGGATAACGAGCAAAGAATATCAGGAGCTTGTGGACATGTGGAACAGGTGGGGACTAGTCGTGATTTCATGAGGCTGTTTAAATCTTTTTGTCATTTCACCACAATCTGAGGATGTTGTGGTTCAACATATTTGGTCAAAAAGTCATGTCGATTAGAGGATAATGAAGCTTTCCTTCAATTATTTATAAGAGACTGCACAGAATTCTGAAGCAGTTTTCTAAAGTTGCACTAAAAACAAACAGTTTGCTGACAAAATGACTCCAAAGTGTTTGGTCATTTATAATAAAAAAAGGTTGGTGGAAAAAAAAATCTGCTTTTATCAAACAATGTAAACAAAAAATATTTTCAGGTTTAAGAAATAGTTTTTAAAAATCTCAAAACATGTTTGTTTCATGACATTTTTATAAATAATCATAAAATTAATATGGTCTTTAAAATGCTCTAAAAAATAAAAACAGCTTGTAAACATAAAACGTCATTCAACACATAAAAAAATCTTTCCGAAATAGAAATAAATTTCAAATAATGAGAAATTTGTATTTATACTGAATCCATTAGGAGAAAACCCACTATATGATTTTATATGATAATTTATTTTAAAGATATTTTAATTCTAATGATAATATCATTTTTAATGAAGCACATTTAAAAGAACTTAAATTAAAGTTTTTCCACACTCAAACCAGTTAACGATACAAGAAAACAATTTTGTACTAATATATTTAATTAGAATTTATTTTTAAAAAGACTACTAATTATTTGAGTGTCACGTCTGCAGTGTCAGAACTGATTCAAACAATGAAAAGATCTGACTAGGATGTGTGGAAATTGCTTTTGTTCAAATAAATTAATAATAATGTAAAAAAATTAAAACGTTGCGTTTGTTTTGGGGGACTAATAGAACATAAATCATTGCTTATTAGCTCATTTAAAACAGAAATCCTTCACAAAACGAAAGGATTTTAAGAGTTTACTTTTTTGGGACATTTTGCTGATGTTAACTTGCTCTGCAGAAACATCAGGTACAGTGATGCTTCTTAGAACGTGACACATTATTGGCCCCAGTGGGGAAATTCTCCTTTCACTTAGACCCCCTTCAGGGAGGTCAGAGGTCGGATCTTTATAGCAGCAGCCACAGAGCTGGGAGGGTTTGAGGCTTCGTGCTTAAACAGCTTCCCTCAGTTTGTTAAAGCACAGACAGAATCAACTCACGGACAACACGAAGGATTTTTAACAGACAAAATGTAAAAAAAAAAAGAATTGCATGTTCCTGGTTGTTTGTGGAAAAACACGGAGGAACTGTACGATGATTAGCACACGCACGTAACAATGATGTTGCGTTTTCAGAAAGAACAAGACCTCACGTGTTCTTCACACTTCATGCGTTAAGAGAACAATTAATGACACTTGTTAAATAAGACGATAGCTGCAGGCAGGTGAAGCAACACTTTAATTAAAGCTGGGAATGGTTTGAATGGAGCCACTGGAATTCAAACACTTATCTTGTCATGCAGTCAGGTCTGGGTTAGAGCACCACTCCCTCCCTGACTAAATTACATTTGGCCGACAATTGGTGGAAAAAACTGATTTGGTTGTTCCAGACTACAGGACTGTGTTTTCTTGTTCAAGTGTTTTATTTAGAACTGGGAACAGGATGTATCTGATGGAAATTTCTGTTTTGTAAAGTAAAAAACCTTTACCAGGACGAAGAAAGGGCAACAATAGAAGGACGAGAATACAGTTTACTGATTTTAATGTTTTGCTAAATCTTTAAAGGAATATCGGAATTATGTCGTTATTATAAATTTTTGCAATATGCATCATAAATAAAAGTTTAATTTGTGCTCCAGTATGAAAAAAATTGCACATCAAATTTACCTTGATGGATTGATTGATTGATTGATTGATTGATTGATTGATTGATTGATTGATTGATTGATTGATTGATTGATTGATTGATTTGGATAACAGAACCTGCAACACCACAATCAACAACACTATTTTAAATCTTTCAGATGGGAAAAAAAATACAGGTAATTTGAAGAAATAATTCAAAAATCATCACACTTGACTGCTAAACTATAATTATTAAAATTTTGATTATTAAAATCTAATATAAGGTGCCATTTGTGCAATAAAAACAAACAAATGATAGAATGATGTGATGAAATGGTAAGTTTGTATAATTTTGTTGTTGTTGTTGTCATGTGAAGTATTTGTGAGTTTAAATTGTTTTATTTATCAGTGAGCGGGCAGATTTAATCCTATCATCATCACCTTTGTTCTTTTTTTAGTGGATCAGGTGTCTAACAAACAGGATGAAACTTTAGGGGGTCTAGGGAAGGGTGGGGTCGGTGGGGGATGACGAGGGTATACGGTGTTGGGTTACAGCCAAAAATTATTAAAAAGGAGAGAAAAGGCCAGGGGAGAGTGGGCATTACCACATGCCCTGTTTTAAAACACACACACACACACACACACACACACATCAGAGCACGGTGGGGGCCGGAGTTAAAGGTCACCTGGCAGACCAGGTTCTGACTTCCATCCTGACACCTGAGACAAGAAGACGCATCAAGAAGTGAAGCTCAGTAATATCTGACATTCTTAATAACACACCTTTAATTGAAAACATTCAAAACAGAAACAGTTGACTTTTTGTTAATTTGACACACTCTCAAATAAATGAATTGATTTTATTCACAATAAGATAATGATGGTGAAAATATAAAGATCTTATGATATTAATCAGAATCTGTGCACTTTTCCCCACTAAAACCACTGGATGTAAACTTTAGGCAAAACTTTTCAGAGCTCAGTAAAACAAGAACTGCATGGGTAGGTACAATAAAGCTACAATTATTTGGATTTGATTAATACAAAATATTCTAAAATGTCATAATTAT